TCAATGGCTGAGACCAGAAAAGCACACCAAAGCTCAGATGTTGGACCTAGTAATTCTGGAGCAGCTCCTGGCTCTTCTGCCCCCTCTGATGGCAAACTGGCTGCGGGAATGTAGAGCAGAGACCAGCTCCCAAGCGGTGGCCCTGGCGGAAGGCTTCCTCATAAGTCAGGCAGAGGAGCAGAAGGAGCAAGTCGAATTTCAGGTGAGAGACCTTCACCTTGGAAGTCCAGAAGGGAATAAAGAATGTGTTTGAATTTTTCACCCCTCCCTTCCCTACTTCTCTGCTCCTCATAATATGTGGAGATGTTTCACTAGTTCTTGCAGGACATTGTTCCATTATCCATTCTAGAAGACAAACTGGAGACAGCTGTTCCTTTCTTACATTCTAGGCTCATTGATTGATATTGGGGAATTGAAGTTGTTTTTAGAGAACAAGAATCCACTTTATGTTGTGTGATGTCTTATTCAAGTTTTTCCTTCTGCAGACCAGAGATCCTATGAGAATCGGGAATCCATCAAATTCTCCTCAGGAGCTGTTTTCCAGGAGGATCTATCAGGAATCCACAAGTGAGGACATCTCAGATGGTAATCAAAAATCAACCCATTGCCAAGAGAGGTCCCAGCTGTCTTACCTTCTCTATCTCCTCTTCTGTAGAATGCCTCCTGCCCTTTTATTAATTATCCATTTAAAATTCTGTCTCCCTCACAGGGAAGAATAGAACGAATCCTACTCCTTTCCATGGTGCTGCTGAAAGAGTGGTTGAGTCTCCAACTCAAGTAAGAGAAGTATAATAAAACATAAAATGTTCTCAATGTTAGCGTTTTCTGACTAGTAATCCTATTAATTCTTTGGCACGGAATTGGGCAAGGCTACACAGTAATATCGGGAAGAATCACATCGGCGCCTTACAGCTTCTAAAATGCCTTGTTTACAGCCAGTGATAAGAAAAATAATGGCACCGGGTTAAAAGATGAAGCGGACTGTTAAAATCCAAAGAGAGTGGGCAGATCAAGGCCCTTCTGCCTTTAAAGGAATTTCTAATACTCCGATTTGTGCCTGGAATTTGGGGCCAAACAATCCAGCTTTGGAAAGGATGAGAAATGCTCTTCACAAGGTAGCTTTCTCTTCTTCAGCCATTGGATTGGGGTACAAGCAGTGGATTCCTTGTAATCTGAGGAGCAGCCGAAACAGGTCTTGTGTGTCATTGTCTGTTGATAATACCCATGTAAATGCCTGGGTGCCTCTGAAACAACTTTAATGAAGGTTTTGAGCATGGATAGGATTGTTTGTTCTGGGGACACCACATGCCTTTTACGGAATTGGTAGAAAGAACCACCACCAACTGCATTTTCACCTGCAAATATTGGGTTGATTGGAGTGAGTGATGGGTAGGGTTTCCAAGGCCCATTCCAGTTGATTCTCTCCAGAGCTGAAAGACTTGCTGGTGGATTAGGACAGACAGGCAGACCGAGACCAAAAGTGTCATTAATTTCACTAAACGGCCTGAAATGTATATCTTTGCTTGGAATCACTTAAATAATAGGACAAATCTTGAAAATCATCCTGATTTTTCTTCTGTTTTCTTCTCATTCAGGAGGATGTTGTGTCCTTTAAGGAGGTGGCTGTGTATTTCTCCGAAGAGGAGTGGTTTCAGCTGGATGCTGACCAAAAAGCACTGCATCGGGAAGTCATGCTGGAAAATCATAGGAACGTGGCCTCTTTGGGTAAGAATATGCTACTCCCCAGTCCGAGTGTTTGGGAAGACGTTCTGTAATTAGATGTATTAGCTCTTTTTATTAAAGGAATTTTATCAGAATAAAAACAGTAACAACTCTGAAGTGTAAATGAAGAAAATAATTGATTAATAAATAAGAAAAAGTATGATAAAATTAAGAAAAGAAAGAGAAAAGACAAAGTAATAAAGAAGTTAGAATTTGACCCCTGTTTCTAAGGTTACATCATTGTTTCCCCCTTTACATAATTTATCCATTCTAAACGTTGAACACAAGTTTGATGACAAGATCACTTTTTCTTTTTTTCAGCAAAGCCCATCGGGGGTTTCCATTCACTAATAAATATAGATACTATCCTTATCTTAATCAGAGTCAATTTAGTCATAATTGAGAATTCTATCATCTTCCCCAACCAATCCACTATTCTACTTATTGTAGAGCCCTTCAGCTTTACGTGTATAATAATCTCACTATGACTTTCATACTCAGAAACAATCTTCTATGACTTTTCATTAGTGCCAACATGAAGTATTTTGATTCCAGTTGGATATTAATCTTTAAAGTTCTCTGTATCACTGAATATCTTTGAATCCAAACTTTTCTATCTTTTTTACAAGTCCACTAAAGCATGACAAAAAGACCCTTTGTCTTGTCCACATTTCCAATATAACTTTGAGGTACATTTATGCACTTTTGAATATTTTTCTGCTGATTTTCACATTGCTCAGCCTATTTAGAGGTTTTAGCAATTACATATTCATTTTTTCTATGCAAGTGAGATTCAAATTCCGCTTTATGTTGTTGAATACTATACTTCCCTTTATCTACCTAGAGTCTTTCTGATAACGAAAAATACCGACAGTTAACATGTCTATGGAGATTCTCAGTCATCCAGGTCATACTTGTCCCATAGGTACTTTTTTAACAGATAACTGGACTTCATTGTGAATAGAGTAGAGTAGGGTAGAACAGAACATTACAGAATATAATAGAATCTGGAAGGGACCTTGGAGGTCTTATAGTCCAGCCCCCCACTCAAGCAGGAGAACCTATAACATTTCAGACAAGTGACTGTCTAGCCTCTTCTTAAAAACTTCAGTGATGGAGCACCCACGATTTCTGAAGGCAAGCTGTTCCACTGGTTAATCCTCCTCACTGTTAGGAACTTTCTCCTTAATTCAAGGTTGCTTCTCTTCTTGATCAGTTTCCAACCATTGTTTCTTCTCCTGCCTTCTGGTGCTTTGGAGAATAATTTGACCCCCTCTTCTTTTTTGCAGCCCCTCAAATACAGGAATACTGCTATCATGTCACCCCTATTTCTTCTCTTCTTTAGAGTAGCCAAACCCAAGTCCTGCAGCCGTTCTTTGTATGCTTTAGTCTCCGAGCCTTTGATCATTTTAATTGCTGTTCTCTGAACTTTTCCCAAAGTCTCTATATCTTTTTTGTGGTGTGGTGACCAAAACTGAATGCAGTATTCTACCTGTGATCTTACTAGGATTTTATAAAGTGGTACTAATACTTCATGTGATCTTGATTCTATGCCTCTGTTTATTTAACCCAGGATTGAATTAGCTTTTCTGGCTGCTGCTGCACACTGCTGGCTCATATCCAACTGATCCACTAGGACAGTGGTCCCCAACCCCCGGTCCGTGGACTAGTACCGGGCCGCAGCATGTCAGCAACCAGTCCGGAGAAACAGGGAAAGCCCCATCCGCAGGATGCAGGCAGCACACAAAACCACACCCCCTCCAGTCCTCAGAAAAACCTCTCTGCATGTAACTGGTCCCTGGTGCCCAAAAGGTTGGGCACCTCTGCACTAGGACTCCGAGGCCCCTCTCACAGTTACTGTTTCTGATCCAGGTCTCGCCTAATCTGTACTTATACCTCTGGCTTTTTCTTTGAAGACATTTTGCTTCTTATCCAAGAGGTTTCTTCAGCTCTGACTGGATGATTGGGAATGGAAGGATTTATACTGCTTGCAGACAGCTAAACTCTTCACCTTCAGGAAGCCTGGGCAATGGAAATCTTAGGCCAGGCTCCTCACAGCTGAAGCAGTCTGGCACACCCAGGTTCAGGTTGGCTGTTGCGGGAGGGTGTGGCCCATCCCTGTCCTCTAGGTCCGCCGCACATGTGGGACGAGCCACTTGTGATGGCGAACCTGACCCTGGGCTAGGCGGATTGCTTATAATGAGAGGCTGCATGTTACTGGAAGACAACTGCAAAGGGCACGCGTGGATCCTTGCAGCTCCTGGAGGCTGTGAGCGCTGTTTTTGCTCTGTTCGGTCTCCCACCCCACCCCTGCCAAGCTGATCTGGTGGGCAGGGTTGGCTTCCACCTTTCCCGCCACTACATTGGTAGCAGAGTTTGTGTGCGCATCTGCATTGCTGTTTTCAGCAGCACTCCAGTGCCTGGCTGGCCACCTCGGATCAGCTGCAGCGCATAATGGAGACAATGACTGAGGTTTGGAGGATAGTGTATCCCCATTCGTAGTGTGGCCGCCGTTCAATTGCCGCGCCGCCTCTCAGGAGGGCAGTTTCAGCTGCCGATGAAGCAGCAGGAAAGGTGGAAGACAATCCCTTCAGGCCAGCGGAACAGATTTTCTTTGATGATATCCCTATATCTGGCTCCATTCAGCTTTTCATCAACTTTGATCAGTCTCCCAGTCCCTGCTGCTGAAAAACATCCACACAGCATGATGCTGCACCACCATGCTTTGCTGTTGGGATGGTATTGGGCAGGCGATAAGCAATGCCTGGTTTATTCCAGACATAACATTTAGAATCGAGGCAAAAGCAGTTCAATCTTGGTTTCATCAGAACACAGAATCTTGTTCCTCACAGTCTGAGAGTCCTTGAGGTACTTTTTTGCAAACTCCAAGCAGGCTTTCAAGCAGTGTTTTTTACACTGAGGAGAGGCTTCCGTCTAGGAACTCTGCCGTAAAGCCCAGATCAGTAGAGGGCTGCAGTGATGGTTGTCCTTCTGGAATTCTGTCCCATCTCCACACAGGATCTCTGGAGCTCAGAGTGCCCATCGGGTTCTTGGTCACCTGTCTTACTAAGGCCCTTCTCTCCCGATTACTTAGTTGGACCAGGTAACCAGCTCTTGGAAGAGTTCTGGCTGTGCCAAACTTCTTCCACCACTTATAGTCGGAACCTTCAGTGCAGCAGAAATTTTATTGTAGCCTTTCCCAGATGTGTGCCTTGCAAAAATCTTGTCTCTGAGCTCCGCAGGCAGTTCCTTTGACCTCATGGCTTTTACTCTGCTACAGGTGCATTGTCAGCAGTGAGGCCTTCTATAGAGAGCTGTGTGCCTTTCCAAATCATGTCCTGTCAATTTAATTTACCACAGGTGGACTCCAATCTAGGTGTAGAAGCATGTCAGCAATGATCAAGAGAAATAGGAGGCAT